GTCCCTCTGGATTGCATCCCTTCCCTCCAGTTTTTTTGAAAACACCAGCTTTCATTCTCAAATGACCTACCTTTGGTACCATAGAGCAAGCAAAAGCTAGTTGTTCTTTCCTATTGCATAACAAAAGCAAATCAAAAGAAATATGTCTTGGGCAACATGGTCTAGTGTGAGGCATCCCTGCCCATGGCAGGGGGGTTGGAACTAGATGATCTTAAGGTCCTTTCCAACCCAAACCATTCTATGATTCTGTGAAAAGCCAGAAGCTTTTTATTTTAGGATGACAACCTTTAACAAAATTAAAAATGAATTCAGCAATATGCAGAAATAGTCCTTCAGATGAGAGACAAGCTACAGAAATGAAGTTCCAGAAAGGAAGTGATGCTATATGATGCTATATATTTAACCACCTTATTGAAAGTGGTTATTGAAATAAGGGCCACAGACATCTAAAGAAAATGACTGAATATTATCAGATCTCCCTAAGAAGGTCACTCGAAGTTTCTTATAAAAGTTAAAAATCAAGAACTATGCCTAATACATTCCAAGGCATATTAAGCTTTAAAATTTCATATTAAAGTAAATTATATTTTTAAAGGCAAAAATATTCCAGCCTTTAAATATAAAACTACTTGTTTCCACTATTCAAGTGTTTATAAATAGAAATAAACTAAGAATAAAGGCTCTATTTAGCAACTCTGAAGAAATGGTAGTTAATAAACCCTAGAAAGGTTCAAATCTCTTTTAACAGTTACAATGATTTCATTAATTTATGGGGAAAAAGTAGCATTCAATAACAAACTTTGAACCAGGAGGGGAGTTTGACTGTGTATATGCGCATCCACCTACCATACCTATTCTGAGACTTGAAACTGGCAAGACACAAATTCAATGAGACCATACATTGTATTTTACTCAACAAGGAACCTCTGAGGCACTTAATTTACAAGACCAATTAAAAACACTTTCAGAAGGACTGGAAAAATTGCAGGCAAATAGCATACAGTCAGAAAGTCCTCTGATGTAAAATGACTGATCTTTTGGTTTCCCATCATGACTCCTAATCATGAAATTCATAGGTTGAATATAAAGCACACAAAAGTGGCTGGAACTCTGTTGACAGAAAGTAGAATTTGCAATTTCATCTTATCTGTGAAACATTTTAAAAGAATCTGAGGGGTAAGTCTTGTTTGTCCTTTTGTTTGGTTGGTTTTGGGTTTTTATGTAGTTTGCTTGTCTTAAAGCTTCATTCTCTTCTCAATAAGCCTAATGACATTAATGTGCGATTTTCAAGGACAGCAGTTCAGATGTGCTTTTTCAGATCAGTTTTTTAGTGAGTGTTAGTCAATTGTTTGGGCTAGACCTCTCATGAAAGGCTGAAATGTCAGAATTTCACGTCTGCTCCAAGAACACTGTAAATATGCTGTGGTGTCCAGCTGTAAGTATGTGAAACCAGTCCAAAATGAGTTCTACTCAGGGTGACATGTATCCTTTAATTTTCAGAGAAACGATTGTGAATTCTATTTTAGTTTTCATTTCATAAAGCTCTCAGGCATTTTTAAGGGAAATTACTTTTACCAGGGCAAGCTGGATTCAATACAAAGCTAAGTGTCTGATGACATAGCACTTTCTGAATTTCTTTTACTTTTTAAGTTCTGGGAAGCTGGATTCAATACAAAGCTAAGTGTCTGACGACATAGCACTTTCTGAATTTCTATTATTTTTTAAGTTCTGGAGACATAAGAGTACTTCTTTCAATGTCCATGCTGGCTTAAAATCTTCAAACACTGACTCTCACGAAGAGCACACTATAGAAACCAAGAAAGCAAAACAAGGGCTTGGCATTCTCTGTCTCTTTCTTGCCTTGCTCTCTACATTTTTTTCCCAATCCTTATCCCAAACATTTCCCTCCATTTTCACCCCCAAAACAGAGGACAAACTTCACTGGGACATTAGGTTACTCCTACTCTAAGGATCAACAGAATAATGCAAAGCTCTCCAGGCTCAGGAACTCTCTGAGGTTTCATAGTTGTACAAAACACAGCATTCAGGACAAGGTAAACAGACAGACTGTCTTCTCAGTGTCCAGCCTCATCAACTTTAGTAAAGACAGGATGAATTCTCATTGAGCACAACATGTAAGCAGTCATTTACACCACCTGTCATAAGCTTCACATCCTGTGATGTGACACAGTTTGGAAGATTTTATTCTCCAACTTGGACATATTTCCTGTAGGAAACCTGTGAAGATTTGAACTGCCTATTTGCCTTGTCCTGAATGCTGTGTTTTGCACCTCTGTGAAACCTCTCTGGGCAGAAAGAGATTGCTTCTTACCTAACACTAACTCAATATGCTTAGCTCAGAAAACTATCAGCAGTGCCAGGCAGAGCAGAGAGAGAAGTTTGCAGAACAAATGCTGACTAGAAAATTCCTGAGAAGAAAAGTTTGCATACCCAAAGCCAAGCTGGACACATGACTGAAAGTCAAAGTTTCCAAGTAGTCTAGAGGAGACTATATGTAATCCACACAACCTAGCAGTCCAAATTACTGGACTGGAAGCAGTGACCCACTTTGTAGAGGGTAACTTTGTTTTCAAGTCCTTTACTCTCCCATCCAGCATTTTGAGAGAAAATACATGTCTGAGACCTACCAGATGAATGACTTGTTTAGATATAAAAATACAGGTCTATATGAATTCTCACCTGCTCAGTAAGTAATATTGAGGTATTGCTGTACTTTTTACTAGTTTCAGATCCAAGAGTAACAAATCTTAAGAGAAAAAGAGTTAGTGAAATGCACCAAATTACAAGTTCCCAATTGTAGTGACAATCAAGGAAGATCTCATGCATGTGAAGCAGCTGAAACCAAGAGAAAAAAAAAATTAATTGGAAGTAATAATTACAACATAAGAAAATAATTATACATATCCCCAACTCCAAGAAAAATTTCCAAGAATAAGTATATGGATTGGGTTTAGGCATAGAAGATTTTTGAATCATAATTTAAAATCAGCAGTGTCAAAGATGTGAGGTTTGAGAGAGGACACGCTCTGAAAGGCTCCATCAGAATTTAGCCACATTGTTTTTCAGAACTCTTAAGCAATAGAAAAAAAATACACTCTAAGACAAATTTAACCTCCTGTTCGAATTTGCAAAGACACTATATGGGATGAAACTCAAAATGTACTGAATTACAGTACATACTGAAGCATCAGATGTACTGAATCATATAGAAAATTGAATCCAGGAAAAGCTACTGCTAAATTATATTCTTATTAAGACATTTATCATTTGCTACCAGGAAAGCACATTAGCATATACTAGGGAAGGAAGTGGAAAGAAGATACAAACAGGAGCCATTCAGAAGCTTCCCTGTATTCTGAAACAGAACCTCAAGGAAAAATCTTAAGCAGTAAAAATCATCTTTAAGCACAGATTTCCTTACTAAAAGATATTCCACTAGAGGGCAGGCTAATATAGCCAACAACCTGGTTTCTCACAGAAATCATCAGCCAAGGTCAATCTCAACTGTCTTTGCAAAAGTGTGTTTTGATACAAAATGTTAGGAAAAAACCCCGTGTTCCAAAATCCATGATGGAAAATGAAAGAGGACACAGAATTAAAACATAGTATCATCATGTCAGGAATTATGCTATCAGTAAGTTTCTGTAGGTCTTACAGAATAATACTCTAACGTAGATAAAATGCGCAATACAAAATGGAACTTAATCTTCTGAAAAGCTGTAACAACTGTTTTTGATTTTTCACTGTGGTCTTTTAACTCAATAGGAATACAAGTAAGAATTCCTCACCTGGGCACAACAGATAAACACAACTGAGATAGTCAGTAGGAAGGCAGATGAAACTATCACATCAACTGAGCGTTGAGGTCCCCGACGCTGAAAATCAAGAATATGCATGTATGTGAGTGAAAACCTGCCCAGTCATAGCTGATATTTAGCATATCCATTTAGATTCACTTGAACCTATGTTTCATCATGGTTTGTAATCTGGCAATCTAAGTTCAAACACTGTATTAGATCCAAATAGTACTACTACCTTTGAAACCCCTAAAGGCACATGAGATTAATTCAGATGCAAGCATCTAAAGATAACTATGAGAAAAGAAAAGATTCACCACTTGTTCAGCCAGCTCCTTCATGATGCAAAGTAACTTTGATACAGGCAGTATTCCCTGACATCACAAATTTGAGACAGCACTGGATTTTAACCCCAAGTATCAAACCAGGGCTAACAAAAGATTTTTGGACACCATATCGCAACAGGATATCAAGGTATGATTTCACATGGTTGGTATTTTCCATTACTTGCCTCTTTTTGACACAAAAAAAATATAGCTGTAAATCACTGTCCCATTGTGGTAGATGCAATAATACACTTCTCCAGAACAGGAAGGAAAACTGGGGAACAAACACACTTGTCTTGAAAAGTGCAACCTCACTGTTTGCAACCATTTTTTTCTCACTTAGTACAATGAAATGTTTCTACCCACTAAGCTTTTTCCTCTTTTTTTTTAATTAAAGAATTAAACATCCTGTGCTGCATTGAAACGTGCACAAGTTATAACAGATACACTTCTCAACTTTGCTCTCCAGACATGCCTCTAATTGTATAAACATGAGAAGAATGGGAGGTGTGCATATGCAAGATACGACCTTGGAACTGGGAGAAGAGATAGGAACTAAAATTAAGTGCAAATCGTACTGCAGGTTTGCATGCACCACTTATGTAATGGACCAGAGCGTTTTGCCTGTGTGAGACTTGAGGTGTGTATATACCCCAGCTCACATCTTCACAGGTGGACATATATGCAGAGAGGTGTATTTGGGACCAATGACAGTACAGGACAGCAGCACCACTGCAAGAAGGCAGCCCTGCTCCTTAGCTGCTTATCTCCGTTCCTTTCCTCATGCTAGCACAGGCATTACAGAGCTGCCCAGTAAACCAAATAAAGCAACAGATGGAGCGGAAAATTACTGTTCTTGCCTGATGATTTTTGAGTTGGTTCAGTTCCCTTTGTACCTGCCTCTGACCACTGTCTGATTGCTCTTTTCTTAGCCACAGAATTATACAAATGTTTCTGGTGGCGTAAGAAAAGGGGGAATATATAGATGTGGTTGTGAGGAAAGAAGGCAAGACACTCTCTCCACAACAATGCTACCATATGCAGTCTTTAAAGCATCAAAACTACATTCTATTGTCCAAGTGATGTTATCCCCCATTCTTCCCATCCAGCAACACATTACAGACTAGAAGGAAAAAGATAGAAGTCTCTCAAATGTGACGTTTAAAAAGTACATCTTTTTTACAACCTCCCCAACAGACACTTCCATAACACAAGGGGTGTTGTAAATAATCACCTCAATTCCTCTTGAAGTGATGCATCTTTCAAATTTAAGATTCTGCTTTACATTATAAATCTTGCCTGTTTATAGTTCCTGCTTTCCACACTCCCCAGTCTCCATGCCAGAACTTCTTCATGTTTTCATAATCCTTTACCTACTTCTAAAATCTACCCATAGCAGATTTCATCTAACCTTCCTTAATTGCTGCTGGAAAGAAGCATAGATGCAAATAAGGGGATTACCACCACAGACAAGAGATTTTTGGATGCTGTTCACTGAAACTAATGGTTCTATAGAAAACAAATAGGAAAAAAACTAGCTTCATCAGAGTTAAACTACCTAACACAGAGATTAAAATAGAGGAAAAAACACAGGGGAGGGGAGAGGGACACAAAACAACCCAATCCTGACTTAGATAATATGGATCCTTTCACAAATACTCATCAAAATGCTCTGGCTTGAAAAGATCATTACTGAGATATAAAGAGATTTCTCAAATATAGGCTGAACACACAACAGAGGGATCGGAGTGTCCTGCGGATAACCCTTGGGCATAATTTCTAGTTTCACCTAGCAAGTATACACTCACAGCATAAATATGCACATAAATCGTCTTGCTTCATAAATTCCTTCTGTGTTAATGATGCTAATTGGTGAGGCTCTTACAATAAGGTATTCTCTGTATTATACTACAAATGGTCATTTTTACCCAACATATTCACCTGAGAGACTTTTCTGCTAGCATTAGCAAGACAAGACTTCAACTTTGAGCACACTCATACATTACTCCAAGGCAAAATCTAGACATTCATGTTCTCACAGTTTGGCTGCCTACAGACACTGCTGACCCAGAGTCACTAAAATGAAGTGTACAAGGCACATGTGCATCAACGGGCGTAAGTGCACAGGCAGAAAAATTCAGACTAGAATACCAACTTTCCATCAACAGCATATGAGATATTTCAAATTAAAATGGTAGCAAAAATATACATTATTTTACCTTTAGATAGGACCTGAGAGAAAGCCACATTTTTATGTTCTGTACTTTCTTCAGGCGGAAGTGAGGAACCTCTGATTTTCTTGCCCTCCTGGCAGATGTTAGATGACCAAAAAGTTTGGCAAAAAGTAGCCTCTGCAGAGAAGAAGGATTGATTTTCAAGGGCAATAGAAAGAAAATAGTAAGCCAAAGTAATGCACAGTGTATCAGTGTAAACTAAAACATGTTAATTTAGTGCAGAAATAAAAGTAACATGTTACTAAGAAGAGGAGATACACTAAAAAGTTTTAAAAGTCTTCATATCCTAATGATAAAATTTAGCTACACTTTGAGTTCCTATCTTCAAATTTCAGACAATAGATCTGCTTTGCTCTTAAACTGGGAGAAAATCAAACCTGAAAATCATCTGCATTAGAGAGTACCTGTATCACAGAAGTTCCTTCCAACAGAAATTATTATTAGAAGCAGGTTCATTCTATTCTACTGTATTAAGTCACATATTTTGGCTATAATTTGAGAGAGGAAAGTCTTTCTTTTGCAGACCAACGAGTATATATACTCTACAGCTAGTAAGCAATATTGATACTCTTAAAAGCTTAAATTGCAATAATAAGCAATAAATTAACAGGTGTTTTACTTGAGATAGCAGCTCTCATGGTCTCCAACCATGCGACTGATCTACCACCAAAGCAGAGCTCTTGGGTAGCTTCTGGACTAAAGTGTTTTGAATTAAACTCAAAGTTTTGAAAAAAACACTGGTAGAACAAACTGGAAATTTATAGAGTTCTTTTATAGAAACTCCTTCTCCTTGGGGAAAACCAAGATCAACTGAGACATGGCTTAAGAGCTGGGTTTAATGCACTGACCCAGTAATCTGAAATAAAGTTTTCCCTCAGAAATGCTCTCCAGGAAAAATGTTTAGCTACAGAGACTGTACAGAGACTTCAGTCCATTGCAGTAACTTAGTCTCCTCCTAAACTGTAAATCCACTGAAGTATTTGTCATCATCAATCTGTGAATCATAACGTACTGAAGAAAGCAAGTTTAAAATATCCAGAAAGTCAAAAAACCACAAAAATTAAACCTTGTTTTACTGTGGATGACACCTCTTGCTTTGCTGTTCATACCTGTTTGTATGTCCTCTCTGCTACACATAGCAGAAAAAAGAAAATCCACACGAGAGACACACGGACCACAAAACTTATAACCACCATTGAGAGAAGTAGAATGTCTCCATTTGATCCAAACGCAGTCATACAAAGTTCTGTGGCAGAATGTGTAGCTAGTTGTTCCAAATCTTTAGCTTGGGAAAGTCGAAAGACAAATGGCATTAAACCCAAGATTAAAGATATGACGTTGCCAAAAATCTGATAACCAATTCCTGGTATATAGCTGTTCACCTGAAACCAAAAGAAAACAAGGTAGATTTTAAATTTTGAAATATGGAATTAAGTCAAAAAATTAATTATTAATGTTATCGTATTACTATCAAAAAGAACACTTTATGACCTGATAAGTTATATGAAACCTTAAACCAAGCATCTTCAGAATTTACTATTAAGAAATAGGAAGTCCTCAAAGAGCACTTAACGCACAGGAACCAAACACGACAAATCGTTTAAAACCCCAACAACGTAACACTGCAGTTAACAGACTCCAGTGCATATCCTTGTATTAAAAATTCATTCAATGCTGAATTAGCAAAGTGTGCCAATCAGACTGTATTGCTTACATCTACGTTGCTCCTGTTTGTATTTTGCTCTTAGGTTGTATGTTTCTAATGGAATCAACGAGTGCAGATGGGACTGGAGTTCTATTGTTCTGGCTACGGCTTTGTAAATTTATTTCTGCTGTGGATTGCACCCAAAACTGTATTGTCTCTGAGAACAAAGTTTGTGAATACATTGCTTTTAACAAGTTGGAGAGGGTAAGTATCAACTTGTCAGAATTGGTGACAGCTTGCTTAAATTACGCTAGGATTTGATGTTCAACTCAACAAAATGCCTCAGGTGTCTATACAGGAAAAGAGCACAATGGCAACTGAGTGAGGTCAGTGTTGGGACCGAGCCTGTTCAACATCTTTGACAGTGACATGGACAGTGGAATTGATGTGCCCTCAGCAAGTTTGCCGATGACACCAAGCTGTGTGGTGCAGTTGATACGCTGGAGGGAAGGGATGCCATCCAGAGGGACCCTGACATGCTTCAGAGGTGGCCAGTGCCAACCTCGTGAAGTTCAACAAAGCGAAGTGCAAGAAGGTAATTAAGAATATTCACAGCAGGTATCACTTTGGAACAATAAAACAGAAATTGGCTATGTTAGCAAGCACCTAACAATGCAAACACATTTCTTTGTCCCAGCACTTAGGATTTGTAGCTCTTTTATCTGTTAGTAACAAGTAAATGAGAGTGATGCAAGCCATGGAACAATAATGTAATAACAGATACTTACATTTAAAAAAA